GAGGCACCCTGGGGTCTGCTGCCCCCTCCAGCGTCCCCTCCCACCTGGCAGCCCCTCAGCGCCCCCCCCCCCCAGCTCCTGGGACTCTTTTCCACTTATTTCTTACATAGAAAAGCGCGTGTATGTACAGATGTGAGCGCTACGGTCTGCAGGTCCCCCCAGCTCATGTGCTGGAAGCTTAACCCCACATTTCACGTGTGGATGGTGTTTGGAGGTGACCCTTTGGGAGGTGAGGAAGGCTCGATGAGGTCATGAGGGTGCTCCCCACCCCCATGGCATGGGTGGCCTTCTGCGAAGTGGGACCTGAGCTGGCCTGGTGCTCACGCGGTGTCCTGCGCCAGGCTGTGCTGCAGGAAGAAGGCCCTGAACAGACACACCCATGCCGCCGTCCTGGGCTTCCCAGCCTCCAGAACCAGAACCGCGACCCAAGAAACCTTTATTCTTTGTCAGTCACCCCGGCTCAGGCGTTCACTTAGAGCAAGGAAACGGCCCAGGGCCAGCCTGAAGGCCAGCGACAAGGCAGCAGACGGCTCCTGCAGAGGCCCCACCCCTGATGTAGGCGAGTGCTTTCTTTAGAGGGCCACTACATGTGCCCTGCGACAACAGGTTACCTAGGCTGGTGTGACCCTGAAAGGCACAGGCCCCGTGAGATTTGTCCACCAGGCCCACGCCGCTCACCCAGGCTGGAACGTTCCAGGGTGAGGCAGCCCCACGCCCGGCGTCCTGTCCTTTCTCTCCCGACCCATGGACAGGTGTGCCCAGCTTCGCCTCCTGCGGGCAACGGCGTGTCATCCGTGCACGTCTGTGTGCACATGTGCCGGCGTTTCTCTGGGAGCAGGTTGCAGGTTGTGGTATATGCACATCTTTACTGGTTATTGCCAAATTGCTCTCCAAAGTGGTTGTTCAGATGATCGTTTTAAAATATAAATTAGATCATGTCACTTCCCTGATCAAAACTCTCAAATAGCTTCCTATTATACGTAGAACAAAATCCATATTCCCCTCCACGAACACCCGGCTGCGTTCCAAAGTCTGCTCTCCCCTCCCCCGCAACTTTCTGGCCTCCTTTTTTTTTTCTTTTCTTTTTTTAAATGGCCCTGGCTTTCTCATGCCCCAGGGCCTTTGTACATACTGTTCCCTCTGTCTCACACACTCTTCTTTTAGCTCTTTCCAAACTGGCTCCTTCTGATCTTTCAGGTCCCAGTGAAAATGTTACCTCCTCTAAGGAGCCTCCCCAGACCACCCAGTTGAAGTATCTGCCTATTTCTGTCATCACTTCCTTTGGAGTCCACAGCATGGTTCTATAATGATCTTTTACTCTTTGCCTGCTGGTTTATCATTAATTGGCCTGGCGGCCTATGGCAGGAGGGCCTCATCTGCCTCATTTCCTCCTGGATTCCAAAGGCCAGCATGGGCCTGGCACCCAAGGGCTATTCTTAGGACCACTTATCCGTTCAATAGACCTTGCTTCAGCCACCATGTCTGGAGCGGTGGATGACAATGTGCCTGGTGTGTCGGGGGGTGGGCTACGGGAGAGGGGACACAGCAGAGGGGAGTGCGCTGAGTTGAAGGTAGGGTCAGGCCCACGGCCTCTGTGGAACCTTCCCCACGGCCATGGGGAATCATGAAAGGTGCTGGAGCCGGGAGCAGTGGGGTTGACTTGCATTTTAGAAGTGAGAGGGGCAGTGAATTGCAGGAGGTGGTGGCTATGTGCACAAAACACTGCCCACGGCTTGAGTGGGAGGTGGACACCAGGAGGATCCTCCCTGGACCCCAGCAAGGCCCCCTCGACTGAACCCCCCCACCTCGTACAGCTGGGAACTGAGACCCTAGGAGGAGAGGAACCCGAAGCAAGATGCTGAGGGTCCTCAAGTGGGAGTCCCCCCCTGCCCTGGACAGCCATCTGACCCCTCCAGGGTCTTGTCCTATGGGGACAAGAGGGCAGCCCAGCGGGGTCCCTGCTCTGCCCACCGCAGGGACCCCCTGGCTCGGGTATCCTCTCCTCTCTGCCCTCCTGCCCTCCCAGCTTGGGCTCCGCACGGGGGAAGGAGAGGGAGGAGGAGGCTGGCCGTGGCCGCCATTGGTATGCGAGGCCCAGCCTCGGCCCTCAGCGGCCCAACCTTCCTGCTCGGCTCTTTAAGAATCCCTCCTCGGAGCTGCCGCGTGGTGGTTGCCGGGCAACCACATCCCGCCCCGCCCCCACGGCTGGCTCTGGCTCCCTCCCCTCCCCCTCCCCGGCTCCTCCCTCCCCGCCCGCCTCAGCGGCGCCCGGGCCTGGGCACCTGGGCCTGCAGGTGAGGGGCTGGGGGTGAGCCCGCCCAACCTGGCCCCGAAGCAGGCTCAGTACCCCCGGATCTGGAGAGGGGGACCCGGGCTTAGCACATCCTTGCTCATCACCCTGGAGCCCCCCGTGGGGCAGGTGGAGACTGGGGGAGGGTTCCAGAAGACGATGTCTCTTTCTTCCCCAGAACTCTGGGAGGGGACCTGGGCTCAGAAGCCCAGTCCTGATTCCCATCCCCTCCCGGGGCTCGGTCTTGAGTGGTTTCTGCTGCCCTGCAGAGGTGGGGGGCTGGGGAGGCTGGGGGAGACCCAGGAGGTGCCTGAGTCCCAGCGCAGGTGAGGGGAGAGGGCCCTCTCTCTGCAGCCCCCGGCCGGGCTGGCTGAGCTGGGCCCTTGGACCCTGGCATGAGGCCTAGAGAGCCCCAGGGTCCTAGGGAGACTGAGGCAGTAGCCATCTTGGACAGGGACAGGGACAGGATGGAGAGGGAGGAGGTGAGGACCCTAGAGGCTCTGGGTCCCTGAAGAACCCCCCAGCCCCTGGCCTCACCCTCCCCTTCCCTCTGGCCCTCAGGGGGAGCTCCCGATCTTGGGCTGACACCCCCCCCACAGCCCGCCTCGCCCTTGCTGTCCAGCTCCCATGCTGTCCCTCTCGTGGCTGGCCTTCGAGGCAGAATCCACATTTCCTCCTGTGGAGGGTGTGTGAACCGGTGCACGCTGGCCAGTCAAGAAAGCCGAGGTCTCCACAGAAGCAAGTCCTCTCCTGGGGATAATGGCTGGGCATCTGGAAGGCGTGGGGACAGGCGTGGGGACAGGGGAGGTGGTATCACTGGTGGGAAGAAGAGGAGGCTCACAGGGGGAAGGAGGGGCCCATGAGAAAGGCTCGGGACCCACAGCCTCAGTCCTGCCACCTGGAACCTCCTTCAGGTGGCAAGGTCCCGCCTGTCTGTCCCTCTCTGGAGGTTTCTCCCCACCATCCAGGGGCACCTGTTGGTCTTGGTCTCTACCCCCCACCAGCCGAGACCCCACCCTGCCCTCTCCCCAGGAGCTGTAAAGGGGTCTGGCCTCTCTCTGAGACCCTGGAACCATCATTCTGGGGGAGTTCCCAATTTTAGGAGTCATGGCTGGCCTTGGGACAGCTCTGTCACTGTGACTCGCCTCAGTGTTATAGTCATTCACTCAGTAATGCTGGGCTATGCCCTCCCCACGCACAGGGCTCTGTGGCAGCTGCTGGGGACACAGAGGGACCAAAACAGATCCTGGCTGTGACTTCCCAGTGCTGGAGGTCAGGTGGAAGAGACGGGCACTAACCAGACACACATCTGGGGTACAGACCCCCGTCCTAAGTCACGTGCTGTTTTACATCTGTCCCAGGAGGAAGCCACCCCCTGTGAAATCATCAGCCATGCCCTGATTCCAGAGAGGGGCAAGTGGCATCCAGTGGCTGAAAAATGGAGTCCCACGAGTCATGGGAAGTCACAAATGAACTAAGAGCCACCATCGATAAGCAGGGAGCAGAGAGAACAAGCTGAAGGCGTGGTGTGGGTGTTTGTCCTCCCAAATCCATGTTGGAATTTCATCCCCAAAGCCATATGTTGATGGCTTGGAGGGAAGTTTTGGGCAGGTAATTAGGATCAGATGAGATCATGAGGGTGGGACCCCCATGATGGCATTAGTGCCTCCTGCCTGTCTTCCTTATGGTGGGCAGTCCTAGCCAGGTGGCACACATCTGGAATCCCAGGGACTTGGGAGGCTGAGGCAGGAGGATTGCAAGTTCAAAGCCAGCCTGGGCAACTTAGGGAGAACTTCAGTAACTTAGACTCTGTCTTAAAATAAAAAATAAATAATAAATAAAAAGGACTGGGATGTAGCTCAGTGGTAGAGCACTTGCCTAGCATGGGGGAGGCCCTGGGTTCAGTCCCCAGTTTCTCTCTCTGTCTCAGCCTGTCCATCTCCCCCTGCCCCATGAAGAAGGCTCCTCAAAGATGGCCCCTACTGGATGCAGTCCCTCAACCTTGGGTCTCCAGAACCAAAAGCTGAATAAACTTCTAGTCTTTATAAATTATCTAGTCTGTGGCATTCAGTTATAGTAAAGAAAACGGACAAAGACAGAGACGCAATCAGAATGGTGGGATAAAGGGAGGTTCTTGGAAGACAGGATGACTGAGCTTTGGTCTAGGGGAAAACAGGAGTCGGTTAGGGGTGGAAAAGCATGGAGCAGTGGGACCTGGTGTCGGGAGCAGGAGGGGCTCAGAGGTATGGGAAGGAGTGTTGAGGCAGGGACTGGACCTAGCTTGTAGGGTGCTCCTACTCTGGCCTGCAGCTTCCCCAGGCCAGCGGCCAGTCTGATCCTCCCTTGGGAGCGGCCAGTCTGATCCACCCTGCTCCCAGTGCCTTCTCTGGGGGGTAGGTGACCTCATCACACTGGCCTTATTTCTTCTGTGCCTGTTCCTTTGAGCACAGGGTCTGAGAGCTTCCTCCTAGACTGGAGGCCTGGGTCCCTGACTGTCCCTGAAACTGCTCTGGGCCCAGCCTGCCACTCCTTAGAGGAGAACCAGTGTTCTCAGGGAGGAGCCCTGGCCCCCTGCCATGTCCATGGGACAGCTTAGTGCAGGCTGGTGTGGGGGGGCGGTGGAGTTGGAAGCTGGGTCCCAAAAGCACCTGGAAGTTTCTGCTGAGGGCCGAGGTGCACAGAGAGCCCCCACGGGGCCGTGCTCGTGGATTCATATAAACATCCCAGGTCTCACCTCGCAGCCAAGGACTGGTGAATCCAAGACTGAGACCCCCAAAACAGGAACAGGAAGTCTCTTCAGAGGCCCTCTGGCTCTAGGTGGGGGCTGGGAGTCCTCCCCCTTCCCCAGGAGATGGCGCCACCGTGGGTGGGTGAGCATTGCTGTCTGTCTTGGTGTGGACCCTGACCTCTGCCCCAGGATGGCCTCGTGCCTGGGTGCCTGGATGCCCAGAACAGAGCCTGCCGGGAAGGGTTCCTGCTGACCATCCAATGGGGAGGTCCTGTCCCTCCGTTGAGCCTGGTCACCTGCTTTTCCCGGCCCAGAACAGGCTCAAGCAAGACCTAGAACAGCACGGCCGTGGTGGACAGCGGTCTAAGAGTGGCGAGTTGGGTTGCCACGGCGCTTCACAGTGTACGGAGCACTTTCCTTGGGACCTCACCTGGGTCTTAGGACCTAGCCTGTCACTCCAGGCCTTGGAGTTCTGGGATGGCCACATTAGTGTAAGAAACAGGTGCAGGGAGGCTGGGGGAGTGCCCCGGGCAGCAGCTGGGAGGGGGTAGGACAGCAGAGCCCAGAGGTGAGAGGGTGGCTGGGGAGGCAGGCACGGAGACTGCTGGCAGGACCAGGGTGACCTTGGCTGGCCAGTGGAGGGCCCCCTCACGGGGATGCTGGACACTGCCTGGGTTACGGCCACCCTGGGAGTTGGGGAGCTCGGGCTTGGCAAGCTCAAGGTTGAAGCCACAAATTGTGGTTGGGTGACTTACACTGGCATCATTGCTGAAAGCGTCCCCACAGGTGCCCAGCTTGCAGGACTAGCTGTGTCCTCCTGGGCCAGGGCAACCCTGCCTTCTCCACTGACCATCACTCATGGAGCCCACGCACCTGAGTGCCATCTTCTCCATGTCAGCTGACTGTCCCACTCCTGGGACTACCCTCCCTCTCCGGTACCGCTCCTCCACAGGCTGCCAAGGCCCTTCCCACCTGGCCCAGCTGACCTCGCCCCTCCGCCTCCCATCCCCCAGCTCCATCAAGAAGAGCTGATCAACGCCGGGGCCTTTCCTTCTCTTGGCCCTGACCCTCTAATACCTAGGTCAAGAGCCAAAATCCCGGGCAGCTGTCCCGGATGTCCCACCTGACTCGGGCCCTGTGTCTGGGGTCACCTGGTAATCCTGTCTCAGCAAGATCCTCTACGCTGTGCCTGTCTAGGTGCCTGGCACTCTGGAATTCCAGCTTTGCCAGGGCGAGGTCCAGCAGGTCCAGATTCAGCCTTGGTCCCCGGTGCCCTGACCAACACCCAGCACATCGTGGACTTCCGTCAATCTTCCCTGCACCATGTGCGGCCCGCAGGTATGGCTGGGCGGGCTGTGGTACATCAGCGGGTGGAATATCACACAGCTATTAAAACCACAATTATGAAGATGATATTTTGATATCTAAGTGCAACGCGTCAAATAGAGCTGTATCCAAACCATCCGCTCCACCTGGAGGCTCGGAGAGCCTGCTCCGTGCTGGCCCCGGGCTGCGCGTGTCAGGGATGGAAAGGGGTTCAGTTTAGAAGAGGAGGAAGACACGCACATAAATCTGGAGCCACACACTAAGGGACGCGATGGAGGAATGGCAGAGCCCCGGGGCCCCTCGTCCATCTGGGGGCCTGGGCAGGCAGAACGGAAACCACTGCTCTGGAAAAATTATAGCCGTCCCTGCGTGGACCAGCCTGCAAGGGAGCAGAGGCACAGAGACTGTTGACGCCACAGGGCGGTGGCATTGTGGGTGATTTTTCCTTCCTTTATTGTTGGTATAATGCTGTTTGGGCAATAAATAAAAATTGGGAGAAAAAAATAGCTGTTTGGTGAATTGAGCAGAAAAGCAGGAGAAGGAAGAAAGGGAATTAGGGGGCAGGGAGTGGGGAGGGAGGAGTGGAGAAGAAAGGCAGGAAGGGAAAGGCGCTGCTCACAGCAGGTCAGAGGTGGCAGCCCTGGGCAAGGCCCCAGACTGCTCCCAGGTTGGGGGCAAGAGGGACAGCTTGGGGTCAAGAGGGAAGGACAGGAAAGCACAGGAGGAGGGAGAAAGAGGGGCTGGTGTCCCTGTCGGTGACCTTCTCCCAGGGGGACCCTGAAGGATGTACAGTGCAGGGGTGACTAGGCCCCTGGAACATCTGCACAGGTCTGGAGTTGGGACAATGGGGTGGGAGGTGTGGGAACAGGTTCAGAAAGGGGTCTCAGCCAGATTGTGGGGATCCTGAGGGTAGTCCTGGGAGCAGTGGGGCCTGGGGCCCTGGTGGTGGTGGGGTTCTGGGCAGAGGTACAGACTCAGGGGAGTGAATAGGTAGGAACAACTGAGCTCTGCGACACAGTGACAAGGTCCTACCTGGGCAGGTGAGGCTGGGTGGACTGGAGAGCTCCTTAGTGTCCCAGAGAATGTCAAAGAGGGTGGGGACAGACTTTCTAGGCTAACCACCTCCTCCCATCACCCAGACCCCACACAGTGGAAGTAGACTTTTCTGAAATGCAGGCAGAGGCTCAGCCACCTTCCCATTCAAGGTCTCCCCAACCCTCATAAAAACCTTTGCAAACAGGCCCTGAATGCTCCCATTTCACAGTCAGGACACTGAGGTTGGAGAGGTTAATCAACTTGCCCAAGGTCACAGTCAGCTGGTGCAGGAAGGAAGGGGCCTGGCATCTGACCCAGGCTGCCCACTTTGCCAGCTGGGTGGGGCACTTCTCAGAGAGAACCCAGGGGTTCAGAGCACACGCAGGAAGGGGGAGCAGCAGGTGAGGGGGTTTGAGTGGGGAAGGGGAAGCAAACAGGGAGGAAGGGGTTACCTTGGCAGCAGAGTAGGCGGTGGGTACCTGTTTGTGAATGAATGCATGGGTGGACAGATGGATGAATGAATGAATGGATGAATGAGTGGGTGCAGAGGAGGGGTGCGGGGGAGGCGGCGCGAGAACGAGAGAGAGAACCCCTCCTCTCCCCTGCCCCCGCCTGCGCTGGAGGCTGGCTTTGGGCGCCTCCCTCCCCCCACTCCCTAGGGGGGCCTGCTTCCCATCCTGCCCTCCCCCCGGTCATTTTAGCGGAGGGTAGGAGGAGGGAGACGCGGAGGCCGCTTCTCTCCGGCAGGGCCAGAGTCCCCGCGCGGCGGCGCAGCCTCCCGCGCCGGGTCCCGCCGGCCAGTGCGCAGCGCGGCGCCCCCGCCCCCGCCGCCTCCTCCCCGCCCGCCGCCTCCCCTTCTCCCTCCCTCCCCGCTCCGCGCCTGCACGCACGGCCCCGCCGCCGCCGCCGCCGCCGCCGCGAGGGGAGAGGCGGCCGCACAGCCCGGTTCCCCGCGCCCTGCTCGCCAACGCCGCCGCCGCCGCTTGTGCGGGCGCCGCTGCTGCCCTCGCCCAGCCGAGCGCACTCGCCCGGGCACACGCACCCCGCCGGGGGGCGCAACCCCGCGCACTCCTCCCGCGGCTCCGCCGGGCGCCCGAGCCGGGCAGATGCGCCGCCGCGCGCCCCCCGCCCCGGGCCCGCCACCGTGCTCCGCCGCGCGCTGGGGGCTCCCCTCCCGAGCTCCCCGGGCGCCCTCCGGCTCCGGTTCCCGCCCGCTTCTTGGAATAACCCCGGAGGCTCCAGCCGTCGCCGCAAAGTTTCCCGAGGAGACCCGCCTCCCCGGCCGCTGCGCAGGTAAGGCTGGCTGCGCCGGGCGGGGGCCGGGGGCCGCGGGTCGGGACAAGGCGCCCGGGCGGACCGGGCGGGGGCCGCGGGTGCACCGAGGCGCAGCGGGATCGGGCTGCCGGGCTTTGCCCCGGAGCGGTGGGGGACGCGCAGTCTTTGGGATTTGGGGAGGGGGGCCCTGAGTCGAGAGCTACAGCCAAGCGCCGGTGGCGCTGGCCCCGCCGCGGGGAGGCGCGGGGTTCGCGGCCGGCGGCTCCGCTCCCCAGAGCAGCGGCTGGGAAGGGCGGGGGCTCGACTGGAGCCGGGGACCGAGCCCTTGCTGCGCCCCCGAGAGGCAGTTTGCCCGCGGGGGGCTCCAGGCTGGGCAGATCGGTCCCAGCTCCTGCCCCGCACCCGGGAATCGGAGGGTGAGGGGCGCGCGGCGAGGGCAGCGGGCCGGCCCGGGCGCCGCGCTCCCGTCCCCACCAGCCGCGTGAGTCACGGTTAGAGCGAGGTTTTATTTTTAAAACGACTTCAAGGGGGGCACTGGCAGCCTCCAACTTCCCTCCCAGTGCGCGCTGTGGACTGTCAGCCCCGAGCCGGTGGGGGACTGGGGCTGTACACCTGGCGGCTAGAACAGTGGGACTTAGGGGCTGGGGGCGCAGCGGGGTGCCTCTCCCCCCAAGCTCTCAAGACCAGGAGACAACAGACCCGGCGCACGCCCCTCGGCGCGGGGAGGAGAGGCCCATGGGTGGAAGGCTGGGGAGCGTTGTTGCCCAGCTGCAGGGAACCGTGGCTGATCAGAGCTCTCCAAGGAGGAGAAAGTTGTGAAGCGGCGACATCAGGGAGCTGCCCCAGGCTTCCCGGTGGCCCCCGGAGGGCTTCAAAGCTCTCTGGAGTGTGTGACTTTGAGAGAATACAGCCCAGCTGGGGTGTGCCAGGCCCGGGAGGCCCAAGACAGAGCTCTGATGTGAATAAATAAAGCCAAGGCAGAGGAGGTGGGGGTCGACTGGGTCCAAACCTGCCCCACCTTGCCCCTGCACCCTCAGGGAGGATGGAGACCAGCCCCACCCACATCCCCTCCCCTGGAGGCTTAGTGGGTGGGAGGAGGCTGCTTGCTGGGGACCCTGGATGCTAGTGGTAGAGGGCTAGGAGCTGGGGCACCCTCTCCCTGCCCAGTGGCAGTGGGGGAGGCTGCCATGCTCAGGGGCTCCAGGCTCAGGTTTCTGGAGTTGAAAGCCAACTGTGTTCCTTCCTGCCAGCCCCAGGAGGAGAGCGCAAACATCACCTGTCAGCTGGTGCTGGCTCCGTGGGCGACTGTTCAGGGCTTCCTCAGAAGGTTTAAAATGGAAATGGCCCAAGCTGCCAAGGCCAGTGCCTGGGAGGGGATGCTGCCCAGCTGGGTTGGCACTGAGGGTCCTGGGAGGTCTGAGGGGCAGGAACAGCTGAGGGGCTGTCACATCTGGCGGAAGGGTCAGCCAGCTCAGGTCTGAGAGCAAACAGCTTGTATGTGCAGTGAATGGCGTGGAGGGGCTAGGTGTGCGCCCCACCCTGAGTTCCCACACGGAACAATCACTCAAAAAATTCTCCCCCGCAGAGCTGAGGCCAGGAAGGCCAGGCCCGGGCCCGCGTGCCCAGGGCCATGCGTCCTGGGCCGACTTCACCCAGACCTGGGTCTGTGTGTCCATGCTTCACCACCTACTGGTTCCAAGTCCCTCCACTTCTCTGTGCCTCAGTTTCCCTTGGTAACTGGGCTGCTTGCACGCACCCGGGCCCCCAGTGGGGGTGGGGACTGCTGCGTAAACTGCAGCTGTATTTGTTCCATTTCCTTAATGGTCCTGCTCCAGGGCCTGAGTCCGAGGGGTCCTCAAGGACTGAGGGGACCTGTAAAGACCTTGGAAGTTCGGGGGGGTCAGGTTCCCCTACCCAGTTGTGTGCTGTTGCTGGACTTCATTCAGTCTTACCCTGGCGCTACACAGCAGTCCCCTCTGTGTCCCTGCTCCGGGGTCCTATGAGGCCTCCCAAGGAAGCCCCTGGGGGACCCGCCCAGCTTGTTTCCAAGACCTTGGAGGGGAGGGGGTGTGGCCACCCTATGTGTCACCTGCTGCCAAGGCTGCTGCCAAGGTGTTGGCCCAGAGGACTGCACCCGGAGGCCTGCTGGCCAAGCCTGTGTCACCCTCTGGGGGCTACCCAGGCCTGCAGCTTCCCCAAGGGCCACTGTGCCCCTGCCTCCGTGGGAGGACACGGCCGCTGTCCTGCCCTCTGAGGATGGGTGGGTGCCCCTGGGCATGGGTGAGCAGGGAAGGACGGTGTACAGATAACATGGGCAGATGGTGTGTGCACTTGGTTCAAAGTTAGCAAGAAAGGGACTGGAACCCCAGGTGGCCCTGGTATAGCAGGTGTCCAGGGACAGAGAGGCAGGCCTAGAGCTGGCTGACTGCCTGAAGAAGTCCAGTGTGGTGCCGTTGTCAAGAAGTGGCTACTCTGGTGCAGGGGGACAAGTCCCTGAGGCCAGCTGGGCAGCCACCTCTGCAAGGTCAGGTGGGACTAGGCAGTGGGAGAGGCAGGGAGCATGGTGCTGGCAGGGCAGGCAGATGGCCCCACTTGGGAGTTGGGGACCTCCTGGCAACCCCTCTCTAGCCAACCACATTGCCCCAGAGTCAGGGCTGGAAATTGGCCTCATCTCAGCAATGGGGCCTGTCTGGGACTATGCA